AAGCAGGGAAATGTCACACTTAACTGCAGGATACATTATGTTCATCAGAGGTGTTTATACTAAAAGGAAAATAAAACTATGACTGCATGTAAATAGAGAACCCTCAATGTAAGCTAATAAATACATTAATGCTGCGTGATAAGCCTGAATCCAATAACACATAATAAAATATCTCCTCCACATTGTGGAGAGACAGAGTTGTCAAACCAAGTCTGTAAATTTTCAGCAACAGACACATCCTGTGCTTTTACCTGGTAATTGCATTAAAACAATAAAGCTTTTTAGCATTGCTTTTCAACTAATTGAAAATACTCCAAAGATGTACTGTGAAAAGACAAAGATGTGTGTGAGTGGAATGGAATGGAGTTACTGAAACAAATGTGGAGGTTGAGTGAAGGCACACCCAAACTGGATTTCACCTCAAGCGCTGGGAAGATTCTGTGAACCTTAGCTAAATATCTTTAGTGAAAAGTGCAATCTCAACATCCTCGTGAGTGTTTCTGTGTGTGTGTGCATGAGTGTGCACACGTGCCCATAGGCACACAATGTTTTATTTTTAATTAAGAATGAAGTATTTCTGCACACGTTAATCAAAATACATAGAAATTTTAAAAATAAAGATGCTTTTTTTATGGCCGGCATTACCTGTTATAGAAGAGGGAACAAAGAAGTTGAGGAAGGAAGACAATAGCAAAATACCTTTGCTATAGACAGAATGGTTGTATCTTTCCTAAATTCATAGGTTGAAACCTAATCACCAGTGTGATGGTATTTGGAGATGAGGGCTTTGGGAGGTGCTGCATGCATGAGGTTGGCACCCTCATGAGTGGGATTAGTGCTCTTATAAAAGAGACCCCACAGAGCTCTCTTCCGCCTTCCTCCATGTGAGGACACAGAGAGAAGAGGCTGTTTATGAACCAGGAAACAGGCTCTCACCAGACACCAAATCTGCCAGTGCCCTGATCTTAGACTTTCCAGCCTCCAGAACTGTGAGAAGTAAATTTCTCTTGTCTGTAAGCCACCCAGTCTGTGGTGTTCTGTTATAGAGTCCTGAACTAAGACAACCTTCCTGGTTTTAAAATACAGCTCCATAGCCAGTGCCCTCGAGTAAAGTAAAAAGACATGGCTGCTACTTAGCTTTGGCTACTTACAGAACAGCATAAGTCTACGGTGGTTGTTCAACATGAGACAGTATAATCACGGAATAGCTAAATACAATCTGTTAAATTTTTCCAAAAGCAGCAGAAACAGGAGCATCTGTCACACTGCCTGTTATTAGTACGTGATGTACATCGAGGTGTGTAGATACATACGAAGGAATGGGGCATATCAACATAAGGCAGGGAAACAGATGGCACGCTCCTTTCGACATGTTTTCTTGTCAACTTTGGTAGAACAAATGCTCCTGCTATACTTTAATTTGTAAAGTACATATTTATCTTTAAAGTGAGAATGTCTACCACATAAAGAACAAAATTTAATAGAGTTCAATATTTCTTAAAAATAATTTGTCTCTTGTGCAGTACCTTCTGAGCCAAGTAACCAATTTTATTTGGAAATTGACAAATGACAGAGGATTATTTTAAAGCAGTTTTTCTACTCCTGCCCTGTAACCTCTGAAGAAGTCAGGCCTATGATGACATACACAAAGAGCAACAAAATTGTCATCATCTATATTTATTTCTTGAAGAGGACTATCTAATCAGGTGTTAGATGTTGCCTTTGTGGCCAAGATTCTGAAATGGATGTGACTATTCCATCTTACTACTTTTAGGAATATGATTTACAGCTCTCTTCTGCTTATTTTTCACTCGGTATGTCTATTATGTTTCCTTTTAAAGGTTGTATTTAAAAAAAAAAATTGACTTAATTTAAAACCAGAAAAAGAAACTGGCAGGCTGGCAGAAACAATTTGAGGTGGAGAATTTATTTAGGGGACGTAGATTTCAGATACATGACTGCTATTGCTCCTGGGCCTGGATATACTTTCTTCATTTCTGTGGCCTGGGGCCACCTGCCTTAGGGAGGTCCAGAGAGAGACCTGGATGTCGTGACCCAGAGTCTGGAGCAGAGGAGCAGTCCCCTGAGCTTCTGTAATATTCCATTTGGCCATCCGATCTCTAACATCTGTCATGGTAGCTGGACCCGACAATAGTCCAGAAGTGTGCAGCCTCCTTCCCAATAGGTTCCTTTTATTTATTTATTTTTTCTAAATATTTGCTGAATATTGGTCATACTACTTTTGTTTATTTATTTTTAAAATTATTTATTTATTTATTTCTGGCGGCGTTGGGTCTTCATTGCTGTGCTCGGGCTTTCTCCAGTCGCGGCGAGCAGGGGCTGCTCTTTGTTGCGGTGCGCGGGCTTCTCATTGCGGTGGCTTCTCTTGTTGCGGAGCACGGGCTCTAGACTGCAGGCTCAGTAGTTGTGGCACACGGGCTTAGTTGCTCTGCGGCATGTGGGATCTTCCCAAACCAGGGATAGGACCCGTGTCCCCTGCATTGGCAGGTGGATTCTTAACCACTGCGCCACCAAGGAAGCCCCTCAATGGGTTCCTTTTAGTCTTCACTTCTCGACATCTAAGGAAAGACTGCCTCTGATCCATTTAAATACCTGCTCAGAAACATCCAGTGACTTGTCACTGCCAGAGTAAAGCTCATCCCTGAGACCGGACTCTGGGGTCCTACCCCATTTGAACGTGACTTTCCTCTCTGTGCTTATTTCCCTGTACTGCTCCTGAAGGGTTCCATGCATTTTGCTGAGTGGAAAATCTGCCACAGTTTCCCTTCTCAGCATCCCCATGTTTCTTCCTATGCAGTCCCCTCTGCCAGGAAGGGGCTCCCTGCACCCCACTAAGATCCTACCTATTCTCGCATTCCAGCTTAGCCTCCACCTCCTCTATAAAAGCTTCTCTGATTCTTCCAAACAGAAACAGTCTCTCAGACTAAAGGCCCATTTTTTTTTTTTTTTGCGGTACACAGGCCTCTCACTGCTGTGGCCTCTCCCGTTGCGGAGCACAGGCTCCGGACGCGCAGGCTCAGCAGCCATGGCTCACAGGCCCAGCCGCTCCGCGGCATGTGGGGATCTTCCTGGAACGGGGCAAGAACCCATGTCCCCTGCATCGGCAGGCAGACTCTCAACCACTGCGCCACCAGGGAAGCCCCCTAAAGGCCCTTTTTTAACGTCGGTCGTGGCCATTGTATTGGTCATCTGTGTGCACACCTGTCTTCTCCCTCAGTGAGGAGCATCTTGAGGGCAATTGCTACATCTATTGTCTTCTCATGTTTCTCATGACCCAACACAGTCCTGGCATAGGGAAGCTGCTCTGGAAAGGTTGGCTCAATCCACTGTCCAGTAAAGTTCCTGTTCCCAGTTTGGGGAAGTTGAGATGAGGAGTTCTAGCGTAGAGAGTGCTCAGGGGTGAGAGCAGCTCTTGGAAGAGTGCCTGTTGATACTGTAATGCAGACACACCTCTAGGGGGCGCCACGGTGTCGCCAGCCACACACCCTTGCTACACTCACAAGTTATTCCTGTGATTTTCTTTCTGAGGCCAGCTGTTCCCTGGACTGAGGCAGTTTACAAGGTCTCCTGGTCTTCCTCCTCTAGCTCTGCAAGCATGATTAAAGCCTACCGCAACTCAGGTGAAATACAGCAGCAACGGCAAACGTCTCTGTGGGGCTTCTTTCTTGCAGGAAACCATGAGTTCATTTGAACTGGTCGCTCCCCGTTGTGCAGTTGTTCAGTAGCTCTGGGTGTGAGGCCGCTGCTTGCCCCCTTCACCACCATCTCTTGAACGTAACCCTCCAACTCCTCTCCAAACCCACCCCACCACATGATCCTTTGTCAAAATTATGGCTTCTGGCAACTGAACCTCTTTAATCTCTTTTCTAAGGGCTAATTTTCCACTGAGCTGTGAAAAAGCATGAAGATAGTAAATAGAGCTGTAGACATTTTATCAGGAAAAGACAACCAGCTGAAACTTGCTTATAATTAATACACTTTTACTTTTTTATATCCACCTTGCTTACATTAATTTATTCATACAGTAATGAATAAGTTGAGCACCTACTATGTGCCCGGCATTTTCTCAGTAGTTGGAATACACGGTGAAGAGACACGAAGAGGCAAACATCCTGCCCTCATGGCGAGGCTTAGGGTTGACAGACAATAAGCAATGAACTTAGTAAATAAGTAAATTACATCATTTGCCGTGGACCAGAGGATGGAGCAAGAATTCGGGGTATTGAGAACTCTGTGACAAACTGTGCAGCTAGTGAGGGCAGATTTGATGGAGGTGGCGGGAGAGCCCAGTGGGAAGCGGGGAGGAAGAGCGGCACAAGCAGAGGGAATGGAGAGCAAGAACTTCAGGCAGGATGTCCCTGGAGTGTTTGAGGAAGAGCAGGGAAGCCGTGAGGCTGGAGAGCAGTGAGCCGGGAGAGTAGATGGAGGTTTGCATGATGATAACAGGAGTATGGCCTTGTACACCACTGTAAAGATTTAGGGATTTTTATTTTTATCAGAGTAAAAACCATTTTCCTTTACTGTAGTAGAAAAGAGGGAGTGCTTTGAGGTGCCTGCCCTAACCAAACACAGGACATCTATCTTCACTCAGTGTAACGACTGTCATGTAGAATGGCCGGTCCTGCAAACACACCATGCTTTAACCCAACACACAGGTATCCTCAGGTAACCCCAGAAGTTAGACACAGGAAAGAAGAATGAAAGTTGCTGGAGGTGGAGAGAGATTTTCAAGTCTAGCAAAACATTTATTAAGTACCACAATGTGCAAAAAGGGCTTTCTAGCAGAGAGAGCTGTTCAACAAGAGATGTTGCACAAAAAAGGCACAGTCACAAAATGGTTACCTAAGTGCTTAGGAGGGAATGAGAAGGAGGTCACAAAGACCAGCATTTATGGCCTCATGTGTCAATGTTCCAGAGCTCTGTCTAGGAAATAAAGAAAGCAACCTGTAAAGAAAACAAATTCATGACTGTCATTCCAGGTATTACAGAAAGCTACCTGGATAGAAGTCATGGCTACAGAATCATGGTGGAGACAAATATATTGGCAAGCATGAAGGTGTGGTTTGGAAACCAGGAAGTTATGACTACTCATAGAAATTAATGAAGCTAACAGTGAGGTGATGTGGACGAAGGACATGTGACTGAAGGTAAAAGGGGAAAACATAGATGACAGGTAACCTGCCCAGTTCCATCAGTTAAAAAAAAAAAAGTTTGCTTACAATTTAGCATATTATGCTTGGTAAACTAACCAGAAATTCAGAGAGAAGGCTGATGCCCTTCTTTTGCCAGGTTGCTTGGAAACTGTCATCCTTACTTGAATGGGTGAATTTTAAGGAGGAGAAAAAAAAGTGCTGCAAAGCCAGTCTTGGTTCTTCCTTCCTGCAACAAATAGCACAGGGTGCTAGGTCATATTTCTAGCATCAGTGTGGGCAGAACTGTGAAGGGGTGATGTGTGTCCTGAAACTTTACACTCTCCCAGTTCCCACTTCCTTAACACTCCCACCTCTTATGATCTCACGCAGCATCACAGGGAGCTGCCTCCTCAGCCTGTCAGCCTCTGCCCCGTCCCAGCCGAATCCCCAGGAGGTCAACAACATGAGGAGTTGACAAGAGGTCAAGGGAGATGTAGGTTGAAAGGTGTCCATTGGACTCAATGACAAGGAGCGAGAGTAGTGTTCACGGAGCTCATGTCCGGCTGCGTTTGGGTTGAGGGACGAATGAGAGAGGTGAGGAGTTGAAGCCAGTAAATGGAAGGAATCCAAATGTGAAAAGAAAGGCATAAGAGGAGGCATTTGAATTTTAAGACAGGAGCACATGGAGCATATTTAAATGTTAAATGTTACTGGAAAGGAGCTAGTTGCGGGGAACAGGTTGATGGTACCCCAGAGGAAGGGAACAATCAATAGCACAAGGCCCTGAACCTGGCTGGGATTTTAATACAAGATGATTAATGGTCCTGCCCTGGTGTTTGGCCTGTTGCTGAGATCCAGCAAACACATGCATGCGGGGAAAGGTTTCTGGCTGCCCCCTCACATTCAAGAATCTTAAACATCATCATTAAGTAGGATCTTGAGCACTGGAGCCATTAAACAAATCTAAGAGAAATGGCAGGTCGTCTGCATCTAAAGTTACGTGATTGTGAAAAGACTCCCTGTGCTCTACTACGTGTGTAACATTTTCTTAATGTTCTCGGAGGTCTGTGACTAATATTATGATAAACAACTCTAACGATTTCTGAAAGCCATTTCCACATTAACATTATCCAATTGATTTTCATTATCTTGGGAACATTTTTTTTCCTCTAAAGATCTATTGCATCTGCTCTACCTTTAATTGTTTTAAAAACAAACGTCATCTCCAAGCAAGATGTTTACAGAGACATAAATTAGTTTGGCCCAAACCCAGAGCTCTATGTGATTTCGAGAGAGCTCAGCTCTGACCAACAAAGACCTGAGCTAAAGAGATATACTGGTCAGCATTGCTGTTTAGTTATATCAGTGTTAACAGTTTAATTTTCAAAGAGAATCTCACAGAAAATGCAGGTGGGAAAGAATCTCCTGGAACCATCCAAATGGGGACTCTAATTAGTCCTGGGATTCATATTCCCATATGTTGTTTAAACCTTGTGTGCTTTGGATGCTCGTTACCTCCCACCTAAAAGTAAGCATGCATAATAAATAACCCTCGCACGATGGCAGCCTGGGCAGCTGCATGGGGACGCTCGGAATCAGAGCCCTGCCCTGCAGTGCGGTGGAGAGATGCCATTCCAGGCTGTGAGTAACCAGCAGCCAGCGATGTGGGGCACAGTGATGGAAGGTAGAGGCCTCTTAGCAATCAAGTAAAGATTCAGTACTAAAGTGAGCATTGAACAACTGCATACACAGGAGCTAAGGATTTTCTGAAAATTAATAAAGAGTCTGGCAATAAAGAAGATAATAAAATCATTCATGGCACACAGATGAACACCAGTAGAACCTGGCAAGTTTAAGAGACTCCCAGACCCAACCAGAACAGACCAGAAGAGGTGCAAGTCCCTGGTCACAGTGGACCGGATATTCTCAATCATTCCTTAGTGACAGTGCTTTAGACATTGACATGAGACCCCGCTGGATGGTGAGTAGAGCTGTCGACACTGACACTACGGTGTGTCCCATGTGGTTCTCATTGCGCTGTGGATCCAGCATTCCCATCTCTCCTGTTAAGAACCTGCTTCAGCTACTGTGAGGAATAACAGCAATGGCTGGATTGAGCGCACTCAAGCTTGTTGTTTCCGGCAAGCTTCTGTCGCTTGTATAGAATCTGCCTTATTCTAAGTGTGTTACATGTTACACTAGATATTGATTTCCATTTTTCAAGAGAAGGCTTTCCTCCTAAAGCTCAGTGAAGCATTTATAATTCTTTTCAGAACACCATGTTTTTATACCTACAAATAATGTCAAAACTGGGTCATGTTGCTTTATGGGTTCAAACATGATATAGGCCAATAAAGAAGGCAGTTTCATTGTATTAAAAGTGGCCTGGGCTCATAAGGTGGATACTTCAGAATAGGCTTGATCTGAGACTAGACCAACTCTTATTGCAAGATGCTTTTCTAATTTTCTGAAAGCATTTTGCCGGTCTGTTAGATAAAATACTCCCAGCTATTTGGTTTAGGGAAGTACTTGGATGAATCTCTCGTACGTAAACTGTTGCTTTGCTTTGCACTTCAGTGAAGGTCATTGATGGTTTGATCTAAATGTGGTCCGTCCACAGCCACTCATGTTGGAGACTCAGAAGCTGCCTGACTTGGTGTGAAGCACATCGTGCCAGACCCACTGGATTCTCTTAAGTGCAACTATACTTAGCTCTGAATTTTAGAAACAACTGGACCTGGAATCTACTGGAAGCATGGAGGATAAAGAGGCAGCCCAGAGGGTTCCAAGTGGACTACTCAGAAGACCCTGATCCCAGACTGCCAGAATCCATCCTTCTGCCTCTCCAGCATTGGCCAGGGCTTTCTCTGAAAAGGATTTGGCTTGTATTTTAGACCTGAGGGCAAAGCTGTCCAAAAGAATGCAAAAATTTATCTTGATTTGGGTTCTTCCAGAAGCTGACCCTGAGACAAATTTAAATGCAAGTAGGTTATTTGACGGCTGACACTAGGAGCCCAGGTAGGAAGTGGGGAAGTGAGATAGGGAGAAGAAAGAGGCCAATAAAGGGTGTGCCTCAGGCCTATTGCCACTGGGGAAACCAGGGCTCAGTCCTGCCTGGGCTTTTGGGGACAGTGTGGAACACACATCAGTCACTTCACCTTGGGAGGAGGGCAGTGAGGAAGCTGGGATATTGATCCATCAGCTCCCCATCTTTCATTGGCTAAGGGCTGCTTCCTGGTGCACAGGTGGCTGCAAGAAGGAAAAGGAAGCGCTCAGGCAGCCAGGCAGCCTTGGCGTGCAGAGGAGGTGCTGGGGGGTGTGGACAAAGAGTGTGTCTGCATCTTGGGCCACCAGATGAGCAGGAACCGGGTCCCTGTATGGAGAGAAAAGACCCTGTTTTAGTCTGTTCAGGCGGCGGTAACGAAAGTACCATAAACTGGGTGGATTATAAACAACAAGCATTGATTTCTGACAGTTCTGGAGGTTGGGAGTCCAAGGTCACGGCACCAGCCCAGTGGGATTCTGGTGAAGGCCCTCTTCCATGCTGCAGACCGCTACTTCTCTCCGGGTCTGCGCAGGGCAGAAGGGGCTAGGGCGCTCTGTGGGGTCTCTTTTATAAGAGCACAAATCCCATTCATGGGGGCTCTACCTCTCAATACTACCTCCTAATACCATCAGACTGGGCATTGAGATTTCAATATATAAATTGTGGGAGGACACAAACATTCAGACCGTAGCAGACCGACCCCAAGTAAACTGTCTCAACTGGGGAAAGCTAAGGAGACGGTCCTTCTCACCCTCCTCCGCCTTCTTCTTATTCCTCTATCCCACTGTACATCCACTCACGTCTAAACGTTTTGAAATGGACAGTACCATGTTCTGGCAAGCATGTGAAGTAACCAGGATTCTCTTACATTACTGATGGGAATGCAAAATGGTACAGCCACTTCGGAAGCCAATTAGCAAGTTCTTATAAAATTAACCTACACTTACCGTATGACCCAGCAACTCTACTCCTAAGTTATTACCCGAGAGAAAAGACCTAAAGATACACGTCCACAAAAAGACCTGCAAGGCAGCTTTAGTCATAATCTCCCCACCCTGGAAAGAACCAAAATGTTCATCAACTGTAAACTAATAAACAAATTGTAGAACAGCGATTCAATGAAACACGTCTCAGCCATAAGAAGAAATGAAATACCGATAAGTACAACAGCATGGATGAGTCTTACAAGCATTCTGTTAAGTGAAAGAAGTTAGATACAAAATGACGTTCTGAAAAAGGCAAAATTATAGCAACAGAAGGCAGATAAGAATTTGCCAGGAGCTGGGAGTGGGAGTGCAGTGAACTTTACTGTGTGCAAATTATACTTCAGTAAACTTGCCTTAATAAAAACTGAAGATTTGGGGGTGGGGTGGATAGCCAGACAGTGGCAGGAGAGTTACTGGATCCATTCCCGCCTCAGGGGAATCAGAGAAGATAAAGGGGAGACCCCCTTTCTAGAGTGGATACGGAGTACTGAGTGGGATCCTCAGAGACGCTCTCCTCTCACAATTGTCTCTTTCTAGACAGTTGCCCACCTTACAGAGATGGGATGGGCGCTCCAAGTGCTCCTGAGATTCCTGGGGCTGTGTGTCCACAAAACCTCCGACGGGCAAACTGAGCCAGTCTAGGGAGGGTGCCGGGAGGACTGCTGACCAGTGTTCCAGCTCCAGCTCCGCCCAGCAAACTTCCAGTCCCTTAGTCTCTTTACCCATGGAGCCTGTGTCCTCATGGCAACACGTGCAATTCTTGTGCTGGATGGCATCTTTCAGGGTGACTCCAGGTTGGCTGTGGACATGGAAATCGGCTTGTTTCAGGTTCTTTGTAGTGATTTCCACCTACTCACGTGGTCATTCATGTCATAGACTGAAAAACCTGGGAAAACTCAAAATGAGTGGAAATGGGGGTCTCTGGTCAAGAGTCAAACGTCATTTTTTAGGGTCACAGATATTCTTAGGTTGCTGTGAGCCAGGAAACTCAGCCGGAACGTTTGTCTTGAATGACTGTGTCACTTATTTCCATCCTGCCTCTGACCTGGACTTGAGTCGAGGGAGGAAAACGTAATAGTCTGTGACAGTGATTGCCAACAGGGAAATGTCAAGAGGAGAAAAGAGCTCCTGTAAACAGCAACACAATTTTCTTAGAAAGGAGGCAATTTGGGAGAATTTAGTGGAATTCCAAAAGGATGATTGCATGTAAACCTCTATATGGCTCTGGGCATCGCATTTCTTATCTGCACCTTTGTGTTATCTTCTCATAACAAGCAGAGATTATAAATGTAATCTCCTAATGAATACGCGTTTTTCATGCATTGTAACCCTTCAGTTAGATGTTGCATCTTATCTATTTAACCTAAACTCAGTTTTGCTGGTTATATTTGTAGGTAGCACAATATTGAAATGCAAAGAGGCTTTTCCAAATATACAACCCTGTACAATTGCTTTCTTTTGCTGCTTAAGTTAATAGAAAACTATTTTGCTTTCTGTAGGATTTGGGGTTTGTCTTGCTTTATCTTTCTTTCAGTCTTTCATGAAGGTGAGTGAGACAAGGTATTTAAAACCGTGCACACTGAAGATCCAAGATCACTGGTCTGGCAGCAGCTCTGCCCGGTTCACTGTGTTCACACATTTGACAATTAATCTCCCTGTATGGATTAGAGAGGGGGAGAGCCCATCCTTCTCAGCAAGTGATCCTGTGAAACTTCCATTTGTGGGATAGGTGCATCATCACAGGAGATGGGCAGAAGTGTTCTTGCACAGAGGAAAGGAAAAGATATGTAACTTCTCACATTACGACAGAGGCTTGCTTTAGAAGGAGAGAAAGAAGGAAGGAAGAGAGAAAAGGAAGGAAAGGGAAGAACAAATTTTGAGGGAGATGAGATCCAAACATCTGAGGTACGACCACAAGTAAATTTTATTTGGAGTTACAGCTTTGGAGAGTAGCATTCTTCCTTCATAATCTTCTATGCTTGAGTACAAATACATGAAAATCTCCCTTTAAATGTGTGGGTATGTGTGTGTTAATAATAAAAAAAAAATCTCCCACTCTCTTACCTCCTCATGGAACAGAGTAAAAACAATATATGTTAAGACCCACTGTGGCGTCAGATCCCGCAGAGTAGAGAAGTACTGATTTCAGAATTGGGGGCCTAAAAATAAAATTTGAAATTAGGAGGCTTAAAATGTAGCAATAGTTGAGAAGTATGACAGCTGAAGAATTTTCAAAGACTAATGATTTGTCAGAAGTAGAAGGATAAATAAGGATGAGTTGTTTGCTTGCATTTTTCTCCTTTCATAATGACAATCAACAGAGTCACTCACAAGACAATGAGTAACTTCAAAGAAAGACACAGATATCTGAGTTTGCAGCACAAGCACCTAAGACTGCAAAGAACCCTCAAAGAAGATAAAACAGTGCTATGTTCTCTGGAGAAGAAGGCGTCCAGTTCTAGGGCATTGAGGGTGGCAATCTTTATGGAAATATGCAACTCATGTAAATGGTACATAGAGCAGACTTGTCTCATACAAGTGTCTCACTGTATTAAAAAAACAAAAACTTTTTTCTGTTTCCATTTAAATTTATTTGGTAGGGCCAATTCCTTCCCTGGAGCTGGGTATCACATGAATTTCCTGGTCACTCTCATGTCATACAAATCCTCAAGGTATTCTAAATTTCGGCACGGTATTTAGAAATTACAAGCCCAGTCCCTGTAATAATCAAAACTATGAACTTGATTTAAAATTGAGGCATCTCCCCACACCAAGCTTGGGCCATAACTCACTGTCATGAGTGTCACCCTTTCGTACATAGCCTGGCATGTATTACTGCTGACTCTCTCATGGGGGCTAGAGACCCTTCCTCCCTGACCCCTTTGCCTGGAACTGCCCCTTGCAGTCCCCTTGATGTGGGTAATTTACTCTCATGATGTGTCTTGAACTTCGGAGGTTCACCTGTAGCTCCGTTATCCTGAGGGAACTTTGCCCCTCCAGGTGGCCCTCTTGAGCAGGGCTGAAGTTGCCTCTGCCCACGACTCACAGCTGGTCCATGGGAAGCCTGGTGGGTAGGCGCTGCAGGATGAGGCCTTTCCTTTGTAGCTGCCCCTCACCCCTCTTTCTACCAGCAGAGCAGTCATATTTTGCCATTTAAATTTGATAGCCGGACTTCCCTGGTGGTCCTATGGCTAAGACTCTGGGCTCCCAGGGGGCCCAGGTTCGATCCCTGGTCAGGGAACTAGATCCTGCATGCCACAACTAAGACCCGGTGCAGACAAATAAATTTGATAGCCAAAGTTAGATGCCAGTCCACTGTGACTACCCCCCCACCCCCAAACTGCAGGGGGAGAGTATTACCCTTTCTGATGAAAGCCCAGCACCCTTGCTTTCAGTTGAACAGGAAGGAGGAAGGAACCACCATCCCTGGCTTCTAGGGCTGACCTAGGGCTCAGAAGTTTCCTTCAAATGTAGCCTCCAACAAAATGCTTCGCACACATAGCCATGGAAACCTCTGCTTTTAAACCCATCCCGATTTTCCAAGACAATCTCCTTTACTAAAGCCAACTGATTATGGACTTTAATTAAATCTACAAATGTCTTCATAGCAACACGTAGATTAGCATTTAATTGTATTATGCTTGACTGTAGCCTAGTCAAGTTGACCCACCACAAGTACCTACATCACAGGTCATTTGTAAAGCTTAAGTGACGGCTGTAAATCACTTACCAGTGTCTGGAGCACAGTAAACACCCAAGTGTTAACTATCATAACTATTACTAGCTACGTGGCTTTGAGCAAATCATGTAATTTGTCCAATCCTTGATTTCTTCATGGGTAAAATGAAAGCACTGGAATAGAAAATCACAAATGCTTCTTTTGTCTCTTAATGTCTATGATTTGGGGCTGCATTAAGGGAAAGGAGACTAAGAAAGCTGAGATTGGAGGGGAAGCAAACTGGAGTGAATGAAGTAGGGACAGAAAAAGGAAGAGGTCGTGGCATAGGAGGAAGAATGTAAACAGTAAGAAGATTCCTAAGCCCCACTGGACACGGGAACCTTGTAGTGAATAGACTCTTCCAAACGGTGTTGAGTAGACTAGCCTGGGTCTATAGCCACCCTGGTTCCTTGGAGCCCTGGTCCCTAGGTGCCTGACCCCGAGAGACTCTTCTGCACTGTAGACTTATTCAGGCAACACTCTTTGAGGACCTACTGTGTGCCAGGCCTAGGCACCCACTACGTGACATGACAAACCCAGGGGAAGCTGGCTCCAGTTCCTCATTAGCAGGAAACACTTTAATCACCACCTTTACTCTTTCTCAGCATCATCTCCACAAAGAGAGTTATTTCCACTTGAGGGCCCCCAGGTTATATGCCAATCTGGAGGCCTGGGGACAATTTAGGGAAGCACTCAATGGTCCCACTTCCACCCCGTTTGAAGGTGCTCTCAACCTTGAAAGATAGCACCACCTAGGACTTTACAACAGAAACAGTTTCAGACATTTCCTCAGAAGAAAGGATAAAGCTATTCTGCTCCCTCAGAAAGCAATAGCTAAAGCCAAGTCAAAACAGGGGAGAACCTACCAATTTGTCCCCTGAGAATAGCTGAGGTGCTTGGCCGTATTGATAATCTTCAGTCAAATCCCCTTGTCGGAAGGAAAGATGGAACTAGGGTTAAGGCAATTGTGAAGGACCCGGAGAAGGAAGGAAAAGCAGAGTCTCTTGTGGACTCCTAGAGACGTTCTATTAATAGCTATTCCATCCAAGAATGTACTTCACACGATGTCCTAGAAAATGACAAGCTGGATCTTGCTTAACCTAGCAAGACAGGGTGGGTTTCTGGTATTTGGGAAATAGCCAGAGAAGTGTGGCCGCCAGCAAACTGAAGATTTCCCATCTTGGTTCCTGTTCTGTGAAGCTCCAGGTTCCAGTGTCCATTGTTTCAGGGTAGTTTTTTCTCAGAGCAGTATGACTCATTTAGAAAGGTAAAATCTAGAAATCCCACAATTTGTTTTGTGCAGGTATTCTTTTTAATCTGTTGCCCTTATGTTTGCCTCCACTTTATTGTATAGCACTGACTTACAGAAAGAAAATTGTCACCTGATGGTTTTTTTGTAAATAATATTGTAATTCTGTAAATATTAACGGTGTATTGTTATTGTTATTATTTCTGGTTTCAGATAAGGAAGTGCAGGCATTTCATCTGAATTCAACTCTAATATTATTTAAACAAGACTATAAAGCATTACTCCATAACAACGAACTTAATTCTCTCCTCTCAGGTGAGAAAGCAGATTTTAAAAAACATTTTAATATTTTTAAATATTTTATAATTCTACATTTTTGAGCACATATTTTGGGTTTGAGCTCCCTTTGCACAGCTGCCTGGATCGTTTATGTGGAGTCAAGGCAGGAATCCTGACACTAACTTTCCCCCATGGCTTCTAAGGCATCTTACAATGAGTCACCGTGTTCCTTATTTGCCTCATCCTGGACAAGGAGTTCATTGTTCCTCTGTTGCAAGTACAATGTAATCCATTTATAAATAATTTATACTTACATCACACATTATAAAATACTGGATATATTTTGGCTTTCTACTTACAATTTTAGGATTCTTATTGCAAATGAATTAATTGCCCCTTCTCCTTTTGCAAGGTTGAGGTGAAAACTAATGACACAAATAACAGATTATTTTCCTTTGGTAATTAGAAAGCCTTTAGCTTCATTATTTAATCCCCAAGGACAGGGTAAGTGATTACTCTGTATGAATGAATTGCAGTCTACAGTTGCATTTTAATTAAAAAATTTTCACCATATGAGAGATTTGTTCAGTAAATTTTAGCAACACAAATGCTTGAGGACATAGGAATTGTTTTAAAGATTTCTATAAAATTATTAGTGTATCACACTGTGATTCTCACAAAATTTATCTTTTATTAAATCAATTTACAAAGGGAACACTATTTTCCCATAGTTATATTTTGGTGATATTTATATTCTGATTTTTTTTGTTCTGCAGTCAGCAGATCATCAGATGTGTAAGGAACTGCCCCTTTGACTTGAGAATTCCACTTCTAGAAATTTTTCTCAAGGAATTTGGTGTTTCTAGGACACATTTATCCCTTCGTATATTTGGGAGCCTCCAAGGACTGGTGAGTGGACTTAGAACTTCAATTTCCCCATGCTAGGCCTTGTTACATGTTGTGCTGTGGAAATTCCTGAGGGCACTGTAACAAGTGATAAAATCACATCTGGCACTGGTTTTGGTGAGGCGTTTTAATCAAATGCGGGCCAGATGAAATCTGTTCTGCAAGAGACCCGGTGCCAATTTAGCTGTTACCTGATCAGTGGAACCAGCTGAATTGTTAAAGGATGTAGAGGCTGCCGATTAGAAGGCGGGTAATTGGGTAACTGTCTGTTCGCAGGACAAGCCAGATCTGTATTGATCAAGAAAGGAAAAAGTCTGAATTGATTAACAAACCTTCTCAGCATCAGTAAACTAATGGTTGGTTCTAATGTAATTTTGCTTCCCTTCCTCAGCAAGTGGCCGAAAATAGCTCAGTGAGGGGCTGTGGAGAAAGAGAAGGTGTTTATAAATCGGGAGCTTTGGCTGTTGTTTGGGGAAACCTGGTAATGAGAAAGTGGCAGGATTTCTGTCCCAGGCAAAGAGTGTCTCTACCCCTTGAACACTGTACAGTAGAATTCAACACAGCTTTACACTGAAGCTTCAGTGTTGGATCTGTGGCTCCGTGTTCTGCTCTGAAGTGATTTCTGCTGGGAGCAAATGTGTCGAGAAAGAGAAAGCTTTCTGATATCAAGAAACCTGTCACTCAGCTGCCGTGCCACAGGGGCTCTCAGGACAGTTCCTCCACAGGGACCTGACACCCGAGGCACGTCCTCTGGGAAGCTGACGGGATTGATACATTGGGAATTCTCTCCCTCTTCTTGAAGCAAAATACACCCAGGCCCGTGCTCCCTCTTCCATGAGGACAGGGCACCTCACCGCAGAATGGGTAGACAGAGGTAACATCTGTAAATTCCCTTACTTTTTATGTGCCCGTTAAAGAACAGGGGAAAACCTGCCCATAGTTGTCCCGGAGAAGGTTGGAGAGCTGAGACTGCGTATGGACGTGGGTCCACAGCTGAGACCTGAGGGCACTGGGAAAATGTGGGTCCCTCCGCCTCCTGCCTTAGAACAGAGCCCCTGCAGACCTGCAGTGAGCCAGCTGAAGATGTGGGCAACCCCCTGGGTCTTTCCCTCCCACAGCCCCCCACTGTTGAAGAAGCAGCACCAGTGTTGGGGGCCCTGATTACACAGGTGAAGAGTCTCACTGAGGGCAGGAAGCCGGGAACAGAGCAGATACTCAATCTGGACATGACATGGCATCTGACAGGGAATGCAGAATGTGGAAAGCACGTTGACAGTATCTCTCTCTCAGTGTCCTGTGACTTCTAGCTCATGGCAGTAAAACCAGAATCAGCTTGGTTTGGTCCAGAGAACAGAGGCAGCTCCAAGGTTGATAAAACCTAAAACAATAACATTTTATTCTAATAGAAGAATTGGGATGGAGATGGCAAAAAATAAATAAACAGGTAAATCAGGGGGGGCTTTACTAGGTTGTTTCTTTGTGGGTTTAATGCCAACCAGAACAAAACGTATTGCAAGTGTAGCACTTGGTTTTTACAAAGGACCTCCTTATTTGAATGCAGCTGGGAGAGAGGTTCGACAATTCCTGGACCCAAAAGTTCTGAGTCTTCATGAGTACTGAGTCCACAGTCACCATCCCCTTTCTCCACACCACTGTTCGTCCAGTCTTCACTGACCCCAGACACGCAGTGATTTGCCTGCGCTCGGGGAGACATCCTCAGGCATTTGCCACATTTGTGGCTTCTCCAGAGTGTGTGGTTGCACAGCTGTGCTCGTGGACACGTTTCTCTATGTGCACAGGTGACAGCAGCCATGTCCCCGCCTCTGCTCACTGCGACCACCACCAAATCCACCTCTAAAGCTGCAGAGAGGAATGTAGATGCAGAAGAGCTAAGCCGTCACATCACAAACAGCGCTGTCTTCCCAACACACTCCAACCTCCTTCAACAATAAGCAGAAGCTCTTGGGGCACCTCCATTAACCTTGAGGAGCTTGGAAATGAGCTCTGAAGCCTTGTCTAAGTGTTTTTAGTGTCTCACGAAGGAACCTCTGCCCTCTACGGGTTTAGCCTTCACAGCACGCAACAGGCATATTTAATGAGCGTCCCAGCAGTGAGTGTAAATTACAGCAAATGCCCTTTTCTTGCTTGGGTTGCTGCTGTTTCGCTTTTGGAATATTCAGGATTCTAGCAGTGTGAGACATAGAATTTCGTAGGAAGAATTTGTATAAAAGGCAGGAAGATGCAAGTTGTAAGTACAGATAAGGGTTTTCATTCCAACTTCCAATACTGGCATCCATTCTTCTGCTAGGTTAAAATTGGGGGCTACTCTGTTTACATAAACATTCTCCCACCTCGAAACAAGAGACTCATGTATTTCCACTAGCTGTTGTCAGTAGGCAATCAACTGCATTCATGCCTCCGAGGTGGGCTAGTGGAGATTGATTAGCTCTGTCGCTCAGGAGATAGGCATGAAAGGAAATGGATGGCTAATAGCAGCAGAGGGAAGCCGCAAGCAGAAACCAGCTCTGTGGGCCATCATTGTTCAGTGCAGTTAGGCAGGAGCACCCTTGAAGAAAGGCTCCTACTTCCTAGCGGAGTGAGGAAGCCCACTGGGCCCAAGGCTGGGGTAAGGAGGGGCTGATGTCAAGTCAGGAGCCAGAACCCAAAGTGCTGACCACTGAGAGCCCTCGGGAAGCTGCGGCTGGCTGTTGGAGACATGGGACTATGTCAGAGAGAGGACAGAGAGGAAGGGAGGCAGCAAAGAGGGGCCTAGGTAAGGGTGCTGCAGCGCCGACTGGGCTGTCTGTCCAGAGAAGGCGACATTCAGGACCTGGGAGCCTCTCCCCTGTGGGAGCCCCGTGTCGGTGTGGACCTTGTTGAACAGCTCCCCCCATCAAGTGATCCCCTTGGGTCCACACTGTGCTCCCACCTCCGGCCAAACAGAAGGCAGAAGCCAAGCCACTTCTCTCCCTGGCTGTGGAGCAGTGCGCCCTGCAGTGCTGGAGTGCTGGTGGCTAACCAGCTGCTGGAAGACGAGGAGTGATGTTAACACCCATAGATCTGTGTATCACCAGCAACCTGGGAAACGATTCGCAGCTTACTGGATGACTACCTTTTCCAGGGCACACTTGTTCCCAGATGACATAAAGGGATGGTGGTGGTGGCCCTCAGGACAGTGACACTTTGTCTGCCCCCCGCCATTCCCCTGGTAACAGATGGCAGCAGCCTTTGGAAGCCATGTCTTTGGAGACACCCCAACGGGAGTATCATTTGGGTGTGTGGGGGGGTACTTTATCCTGCCCACAAGGAGGAGAGGGTGCATAGAGAAGGATGTTCAAATCATATTGGAAGCTTTCTTAGAATTGTAATAAAGTGCATAAAAGAGACTTCTTAACTCTATAGACCTACATAACTGAGGTGGAAAGAGCGTTAGATTTGGAGTTGGGACATACTTGCGGACATCAGAGCTGTGAGTTAGTCACTTAACATCTTTAAGTTTTTGAGGCTCAATTTCTCCGTCTAGAAAATGGGCATTAATAATGCTTAATCTTCTTCTGTCACAGGATGACTCAGATATTGATGAACATGGTGATGATGATGGTGTTGTTGATGACAATGATGATAGTAAGTAATAGGTGTCACCTACATAGCACCTACCATGTTCCAGGCAGTGTTGTAAGACATCTATTAGTTCTTTTAGCCCTCATATCCCTCCTATGAGATAGGTACCCATATGATCCTCGTTTTACAGAAATAACGGGTTGAGTGACTTACCTGCCCACAGCTGTACAGCTAGCCAGTGGTAGTAGCAAAGCAGAACTGAACCCTGCGCAGCCTGGCCTCAGGGCCTCCTCTCATCACCTCATGCTGTAACTTTTCCAAGATAATCTATGTGTAACAACTATCTTGGAAATCTCTTGCCTCCAGAAGGCAGGCATTTAGCATGTGTTTCATAAAGGAAGGCTTAACGAAACATTTAATGGATACATAAAGTGCTAAAATCATATAATTAGATGCTGCCTTTATTAGGACTAGAAATTGGGCAGGTCTGATCCCTACAATCAAGGGACAAAATCTGAATTCTGCTCAGGCACCAAAACCATCAGGTAGGAAATGAGTGCCTGGGCTGCAGGCAGGATGTCAGGATGTGTGTGTGTGTGTGTGTGTGTGTGTGTGTGTGTGTGTGTGTGTGTGTGTGTGTGTGTGTGTGTGTGTGTGTGTGTGTGTGTTTACTGGGTGTGTTGGTGGTGCCTGACAGCCAAGTGGGAGCACCCAGGCCTGAAACCCTTTTCTTCAGCCGGCTGGGAAGGGGGATTTTTCATTCCAGCAGGCCATTGGTTCTGATTGATGAAGAGAGTAGCTTCCACTAGGAGAAGCTGACAAAGGCAATTTACGAAGGGGCGAGAGAAGGAGCAATGGAGCCGTGTGCTGCCTCGCTGATGTCGCGGGCACAGTCCCGCGGGCCTCGGCGCAGCCCGGGAGGCACGTGTCAGCGCGCGATGTAACTGTTGGGCCACTGCTGTTTTACTCCTCCTCGAGGACCCGGATCAATGGCCAGCCACGCAGAGGCCATCCGTCACCCCAGGAGCAGGCTGTGAGTTATACGAGGCCGAAATCCCAGCGCCGACTCTGAGGACAGCCTCCCTTGCAGAGTCTGTGATGGGCGTGTGGGCCTCTCCGCACCCGCGCAGGAGATGCCCCTGGGAGGGGACTAGGGTCCAGGCCCAGGTCTGAGACCTTGCCCACAGCCTAGCAGCTGCTGGTACCGTTTCTGACGGGCAGGAAGTGCTGCAGAGGAGCCAGCTTACTCCCGCCAAGAGGCCTTTTTTGGAAGCACTGTGTATTCCAAGGACCCTCCATCCCCACCGGGTTTGTAACCTATTTTGGTCCACCTCAAATGGTAAAGAAACATTGTTTATCCCATCTCCTCATTCAGTAGCGTCCATCCCTACCTCAGTGACTTCTACCCCCCAGTTGGGGGAGGTGGCACCTGAAAACGGAGTCACTCCCAGCTCCTGCCCCTCCGTCAGTCTACGCATCTCATCAGTCATCAAATTCAGTAGGTCTTGCTTCTACATCTGTGGTCTCAAATGCTTCTTGTGGCCCACAGGAAGGCATGAATTGTATGTGGCAGCTCAGCGTACCGTACAACCCAATCACACACACACACATACCTGAAACAACCGTTTCAGGAAGCAATACCTACCCATCTTAGATGCAAAGTCCTCTGGTAGCATTTATTTGTATTTATTTATCTATTTATTTACTTTAACGGGAGGAAAAAACAAGTTTATTAACATTTATACCTCCTGTATACATGGGAGCTACCCAGGAAAACTGGGTAAAACTCCCCTCTGGTAGTTTTTATTTAGTTCTATTTCATTAAAACAATTCTAGTCATGACTAAATTTATGCCCACTAATAGTCAAGACCCGTAGTTTGAAAACTACCATCCTAACAATCTCTCGGATCTAATCCCTCTCTCCATTGCCACCAGTAACACCTAAGCCCAATGTCCCATCATCTGCTGCGTGGGTGACCCCAGCAGCCTCCAAACTGTTTGCCCCTTGATCACTCTTACTCTCCTTCAACCCACTCCCAATCTTGACACATAGCCAGAGTGAAATTTTCTGGAGACAAAGTGTGATCATGCTATTTCCATGGTCAGAACACTTGTTGCTGCTGTATAAAGTTCAGCTCCTTTACTACACCCCAGTCCCCATATCACATGGCCTCCACTTACCTCTCTAACTTGTCTTTGGTCATTCCTCCCTCACTCTCTTCACACCGGTTGTCTGAACTTCTTCCATGTCCTTGAACTTGCCATGCTCTGTGCTGGGTCTGAGTCTTTGTATGTACAGTCGTTGTTTCCTCTGTTTGGAACACTGCCTCCCTTCCTTCCATTTAGTGTAGTGGTCTAGGTTGACAGTAAGCAAAGGTGAGATGTCAGAACTTCCTTGGGGTAGTGTAGAAGAAGGATTTCAAAGACTTGGGGATATAGGAAGAAATGTTCCAGTAACTTAATCATGTGCTACTGGCTTACTTGCCCCTATGTCCCCTGAAAGATCCAGAGGACACCTCCTTCACCACAGTGTTGACTGATACGTGGGTAAGGGAATGTTTGCATGATGGATACTGTCGGTGCCAAATCCCCTTCATGAAGCTGGAACATCTATCGTCAGCTGCTCTGAGTCCTGGCTACTGCCTTCTCCATAGAATTCCCCTCCACCAAACAGAAGCCATTCGACTGAGAGCTTACCCCACCCCCGTTGCTCTCCTAAGCAGGCAGAGGCCAAAGACTGATGGACACAAAGAATCTAAGGCAGGTCCCCTTGCCCCCGGGTGCTACCAGCTCTGTGGCGCAATCCATACTTCAGCACCGGGGACCAGGCTGAAACTAGTGTCCAGCCAAGACCTCCTTGCTTAGTTTTCTTCCCCTGCTCTATCCTGCTTCTCTCACTTCCCTTCTCCTGAGACCACTCACCAATAAATTATTTTCACAAATAAACCCTGGCCAGGCTCTGATTCTAGGTAATCTGAGCTATGACAGCTCACAACTTTGAAAAGTACAGAGATGGCTATCGTCCGAGGACCAGGATGAAGGTGGAGATGCTGACGTTGAAATAGCCTCCCTGGTTTCCGCGCGGATGTTTAGATTCCTGGGTAGGAGAGGCCAAGGAGCAGCCGTTATCTGCCAGGGGCAAGGTTGGCATGGTTTCTGTCATGGGCAAATGGCCAGATGGCATACCAGAATGGTTTGACCCTCAAGGACCTTTGTTGGCGACTGATTAGTCACAGAGTCCCTAGAACTAGGATGGATGGGTGGCCCACTAAGGCACTCCTGAAACTGTGTAGCTGAAAAAAGTCTGCACCTCAGAATAAAAGCTAGCTTGAATTATCGTAGAGGATCAAGCCCCCTCCCCTAATTCCCAAGCCTGAGATGGTTTGCAGATCTGAAGCCCCCTGAGTGAAGGGGTGTGGCATAACCTTGAGGAAGGACCTGATGACAAAGTCACAAAAATGTCCTGTAATTCTCCCTTTTAGCCTTCTCTAAGGGACCTGCAGACTTTCACCAGGGTAACTGTATACTGGTGGAGGAAAATGCCCAGCCGTTTAGGGGCTCATTGGTCTTGGCTCTTAAAATGCCAGTGTGGTCTACTAGACAGAATGTGAGGTCAACCTGGAAATGGTGTTTTGGTACAAGTTCATGTTTTGGTCCATGTCCACCTCAAAATGTGTCTGATGGCTCCATTCTACTTCCCAGGCACTTGAGGGTGTAATTAGAAAAGATGAAATTAGCAACTGGCAGAATCTCTCTATTGGCTCTCTGTCCTGTGGAGCAAGGTTTATTTTTTAGGCAAGGAGAGTAAAAACCCTTGGAATAGTTCCCATTGTACCAAAATAGAAAACCAAAAGCATGAATTCTCAAAGGCCAGCTATTTACATGCATCATTTTATCTAATGTGCTGACCACCCTGTGAAACTGGCATCATTAGCATCATCTTATACATGAGAAACCTGAGCTGCAGAGAGATTGAAGAACGTGTTCCTAGAAAAACCTCCGTTTCTCAGTTCCAGGCCTTTGCTACCCCAAGGTTGTTGTCTGGCCCACTGTGGCCCCATTTCCACTTCCCCATATCATAAATGTTCAAGGCTGTGGAACTGGGTGTTGGGAGTGGCAGGGGGCTTCAGAGAAAATGCTGGCCACCTCTGCTGTCTGTGTCCCCGAGGCTGGACGATGAATAGCAAGGGAGACTTGGAACAGGATGGAAGAGCACTGGGTATCATATTAGTTATGGCCACTCGGCTATCACCTTCTATGTCAGCTCAGGTAATCTCAGAAATTCTAGAAATGAGGTAGCCTCCAGTGAAAACTACTTGTATTGTGGCAGATTTCCTGTTAGAGGCCGAATCATGTCTTCAGCAAAATTCATGTTGGAGCCTTACCCCAATGTGACTGTACTTGGAGATGGGGCTGTAAGGAGACAATAAAGGTTAAGTGAGGTCATAAGGGTGGGGCTCTAATCGAATAGAACTGGTGCCTTTATAAGAGGAAGAGACGCCAGAGCTCGCTCTCCCCACAGACACACCACTGAAAGGCCATGTGAGGACATAGCGAGAAGATGGCCAACTGCAAGCCAGGAAGAGAGCTCTCACCAGAAACCAAATGGACCAGAACCTTGATCTTGGACGTCTAGCCTTCAGAACAGTGAGAAAGTAAATTTCGCTGTTTAAGCCACCCAGTCTGTGGTATTTTGTTATGGCATCTCTAGCACACTCAGACAGCTTTCCTTAGCCCAGCCTCTGCACAGCCATGCTGTTTGGCCACAGAGGCTGCCTGTTTGTCAACCCCCGGCAGACAGTTTGTCAAGTACTTTACTCCTGATTCAATTTCTATCAAGAATGGTGCTGAGGACTTGTCTTCTTTAACAGATCTTATTATTATCATGAAAAATTATATTCTACACTTACCTTCTGCTTGAAGACTGTGAGAACTGCAATGAATTTTTTACTAATGCATAATTAATACACACTGATTTAATTAGTCAGAGCCCCCCTTTTTCTTGCTAAAAAAATTTACATTTATATTAGAAAAGCAGGGAATGTGAGAAAAGGAATAAAAATCCCCCAGCACTTTTCAGATCCTTTTCTCTCTGCTTTATCAGATGTGTTTTCTCTCAGCCCCTGAGCTGAGAGAGCTCGGGGCTCCCACCACAAGAGCTCGGGCCTGACTTCCAGCCTGGGAACCAAGATCCCGCAAGGCGGTCGCTGTGGGTTCCTCCCACCCCCTTAGGTGTCCGTGTTCCCCCACTGGTGCCTAGTAGGTGCCCTAGTCGTGCATAGACACGAATTCCGTGTCCTCCTAGTCCGCAATCCTGACTCTGCCCACTCTGGTTAGCTTTTTAAAAAAACATGTGAATGTATTATTTGTGTAATAAAATCATAATAGCTGAAAAATATCCATTTAAAAAGTAAAATTCTGAATCCCTGTGACTCTGAATATGAAATGAATCTGTATAAGAGTTCTTATTGTTTATTATTTCAGGGAAAGGAAGAGAGGTGGGTGCAAGCTGCATGCCCATGACAGGGAACGGTTACATAAGTTATGATACATCTACTCCATTATGCAGTTATTAGAATAATGGGCTTATTGAAAACTAAGGTAGAGATATGAAAAATGTTAGGAAATAATGTCAAATAAAGATGTATGTGTATATTTTAT